TTCGACCAAAAAATCGGTGTCGAGATTAAAATGCCACATTAATGTAGAGGGAAAACCATGAAGAAAAAGCCAAACTTTGTAAAAATCGGATGAGATATGGCCGAGATATGGGGGTGGTAAATGTTGACCCATGTCTGTATACGAATCTTGGGGTAAGATTTGGCCATGAATTTCGACCAAAAAATCGGTGTCGAGATTAAAATGCCACATTAATGTAGAGGGAGAACCATGAAGAAAAAGCCAAACTTTGTGAAAATCGGATAAGATTTGACCGAGTTATGGGGGTGGTAATTTTTTACCCATGTCTAGGTACGAATCTTGGGGTAAGATTTGGACATGAATTTCGACTAAAAAATCGCTGTTCAGATTTGAATGCCAGATTAATCTAGAGGAAAACAATGAAGAAAAAGCCAAACTTCGTGAAAATCGGATGAGAATTGACCGAGTTATGGGGGCGGTAATTTTTTACTCATGTCTAGGTACGAATCTTGAGGTAAGATTTGGACATGAATTTCGACTAAAAAATCGGTGTCGAGATTAAAATGCCACATTAATGTAGAGGGAAAACCATGAAGAAAAAGCCAAACTTTGTGAAAATCTGATGAGATTTGACCAAGTTATGGGGGTGGTAATTTTTTACCCATGTCTAGGTACGAATCTTGGGGTAAGATTTGGACATGAATTTCGACTAAAAAATCGCTGTTCAGATTTGAATGCCAGATTAATCTAGAGGGAAAACAATGAAGAAAAAGCCAAACTTCGTGAAAAACGGATGAGATTTGGCCGAGTTATGGGGGTGGTAAATTTTGGCCCATGTCTATATACGAATCTTGGGGTAAGATTTGGACATGAATTTCGACCAAAAAATCGGTGTCGAGATTAAAATGCCACATTAATGTAGAGGGAAAACCGTGAAGAAAAAGCCAAACTTCGTGAAAATCGGATGAGATATGGCCGAGATATGGGGGTGGTAAATGTTGACCCATGTCTATATACGAATCTTGGGGTAAGATTTGGACATGAATTTCGACCAAAAAATCGGTGTCGAGATTTGAATGCCACATTAATCTAGACGGAAAACCATGAAGAAAAAGCCAAACTTCGTGAAAATCGGATGAGATTTGGCCGAGTTATGGGGGTGGTAAATGTCTATATACGAATCTTGGGGTAAGATTTGGACATGAATTTCGACCAAAAAATCGGTGTCGAGATTTGAACGCCACATTAATCTAGACGGAAAACCATGAAGAAAAAGCCAAACTTTGTGAAAAACGGATGAGATTTGGCCGAGTTATGGGGGTGGTAAATTTTTACCCATGTCTAGGTACGAATCTTGGGGTAAGATTTGGACATGAATTTCGACTAAAAAATCGCTGTTCAGATTTGAATGCCAGATTAATCTAGAGGGAAAACAATGAAGAAAAAGCCAAACTTCGTGAAAAACGGATGAGATTTGGCCGAGTTATGGGGGTGGTAAATTTTGGCCCATGTCTATATACGAATCTTGGGGTACGATTTGGACATGAATTTCGACCAAAAAATCGGTGTCGAGATTTGAACGCCACATTAATCTAGACGGAAAACCATGAAGAAAAAGCCAAACTTCGTGAAAACCGGATGAGAATTGACCGAGTTATGGGGGTGGTAATTTTTGACCCATGCCTGTATACGAATCTTGGGGTAAGATTTGGACATGAATTTCGACCAAAAAATCGGTGTCGAGATTAAAATGCCACATTAATGTAGAGGGAAAACCATGAAGAAAAAGCCAAACTTTGTGAAAATCGGATGAGATTTGACCGAGTTATGAGGGTGGTAATTTTTACCCATGTCTAGGTACGAATCTTGGGGATTTGGATTTGGACATGAATTTCGACTTACAAATCGCTGTTCAGATTTGAATGCCAGATTAATCTAGAGGCAAAACAATGAAGAAAAAGCCAAACTTCGTGAAAATCGGATGAGATTTGACCGAGTTATGGGGGTGGTAAATTTTGGCCCATGTCTATAAACGAGTCTTGGGGTAAGATTTGGACATGAATTTCGACCAAAAAATCAGTGTCAAGATTTGAATGCCACATTAATCTAGAAGGAAAACCATGAAGAAAAAGCCAAACTTCGTGAAAAACGGATGAGATTTGGCCGAGTTATGGGGGTGGTAAATTTTGGCCCATGTCTATATACGAATCTTGGGGTAAGATTTGGACATGAATTTCGACCAAAAAATCGGTGTCGAGATTTGAACGCCACATTAATGTAGAGGGAAAACCATGAAGAAAAAGCCAAACTTTGTGAAAATCGGATGAGATTTGACCGAGTTATGGGGGTGGTAATTTTTTACCCATGTCTAGGTACGAATCTTGGGGTAAGATTTGGACATTAATTTCGACTAAAAAATCGCTGTTCAGATTTGAATGCCAGATTAATCTAGAGGCAAAACAATGAAGAAAAAGCCAAACTTTGTGAAAATCGGATGAGATATGGCCGAGATATGGGGGTGGTAAATGTTGACCCATGTCTATATACGAATCTTGGGGTAAGATTTGGACATGAATTTCGACCAAAAAATCGGTGTCGAGATTTGAATGCCACATTAATCTAGAGGGAAAACCATGAAGAAAAAGCCAAACTTCGTGAAAATCGGATGAGATTTGACCGAGTTATGGGGGTGGTAATTTTTTACCCATGTCTGTATACGAATCTTGGGGTAAGATTTGGACATGAATTTCGACCAAAAAATCGGTGTCGAGATTAAAATGCCACATTAATGTAGAGGGAAAACCGTGAAGAAAAAGCCAAACTTCGTGAAAATCGGATGAGATTTGGCCGAGTTATGGGGGTGGCAAATTTTGGCCCATGTCTATATACGAACCTTGGGGTAAGATTTGGATATGAATTTCGACCAAAAAATCGGTGTCGAAATTTGAACGCCACATTAATCTAGACGGAAAACCATGAAGAAAAAGCCAAACTTCGTGAAAAACGGATGAGATTTGGCCCAGTTATGGGGGTGGTAAATTTTGGCCCATGTCTATATACGAATCTTGGGGTAAGATTTGGACATGAATTTCGACCAAAAAATCGGTGTCGAGATTTGAACGCCACATTAATCTACACGGAAAACCATGAAGAAAAAGCCAAACTTAGTGAAAATCGGATGAGAATTGACCGAGTTATGGGGGTGGTAATTTTAATATGGCCGAGATATGGGGGTGGTAAATGTTGACCCATGTCTATATACGAATCTTGGGATAAGATTTGGACATGAATTTCGACCAAAAAATCGGTGTCGAGATTTGAATGCCACATTAATCTAGACGGAAAACCATGAAGAAAAAGCCAAACTTTGTGAAAATCGGATGAGATATGGCCGAGATATGGGGGTGGTAAATGTTGACCCATGTCTATATACGAATCTTTGGGTAAGATTTGGACATGAATTTCGACCAAAAAATCGGTGTCGAGATTTGAATGCCACATTAATCTACACGGAAAACCATGAAGGAAAAGCCAAACTTCGTGAAAATCGGATGAGATTTGGCCGAGTTATGGGGGTGGTAAATTTTGGCCCATGTCTATATACGAATCTTGGGGTAAGATTTGGACATGAATTTCGACCAAAAAATCGGTGTCGAGATTTGAACGCCACATTAATCTAGACGGAAAACCATGAAGTAAAAGCCAAACTTCGTGAAAATCGGATGAGATTTGACCGAGTTATGGGGGTGGTAATTTTTTACTCATGTCTAGGTACGAATTTTGGGCTAAGATTTGGACATGAATTTCGACTAAAAAATCGGTGTCGAGATTAAAATGCCACATTAATGTAGAGGGAAAACCATGAAGAAAAAGCCAAACTTTGTGAAAATCGGATGAGATTTGACCGAGTTATGGGGGTGGTAATTTTTTACCCATGTCTGTATACGAATCTTGGGGTAAGATTTTGACATGAATTTCGACTAAAAAATCGGTGTCGAGGTTAAAATGCCACATTAATGTAGAGGGAAAACCATGAAGAAAAAGCCAAACTTCGTGAAAATCGGATGAGATTTGGCCGAGTTATGGGGATGGTAAATTTTGACCCATGTCTATATACGACATGGGGTAAGATTTGGACATGAATTGCGACTAGAAATCGGTGTCGAGATTTGAATGCCAGCTTAATCTAAAGGGAAAACCATAAAGAAAAAGCCAAACTTTGTGAAAATCGGATGAGATTTGACCGAGTTATGGGGATGGTAAATTTTGACCCATGTCTATATACGAATCTTGGGGTAAGATTTGGACATGAATTTCGACTAAAATATCGGTGTCGAGATTTTAATGCCAGATTAATCTAGAGGGAAAACCATGAAGAAAAATCCTATATCATATATATATTCTATTTCAGAAGCTATATGTCATGTCTAGGTACGAATATATGTTTGGTGACACTAGTTCTTATTATTTACCAAAACGGAGTAAGTTATCGATTATCGGAAACAAACTCGGTCTGCGCGGGAGCTAGGAGCATCTACATCTAAAATTTCAAGTCTCTAGCTGTTATAGGTTCTGAGATACTTGCGTTCATACATACGGACGGACGGACGGACGGACAGACAGACGGACGTGGCTAGATCGACTCAGCTATTTATGCTGATCAAGAATATATATACTTTATGGGGTCGGAGTTGCTTCCTGCTGCCTGTTACATACATTTGGCTTTCGCACAAATACAATATACCCTTATACCCATTTTTAATGGGTTCAGGGTATAAAAACAGATATCGACATTTTTTTTATGTAGGCCTTAAAGCTCGACAGGTAAATGTAAAACAAAATGGTACATTTTATCCAGTCTTGTGGTTTATATCTGCCTTAAGTGAAACAAATTGAGCTTTATTTCTCTTTATTTATTGCTCTGTATATGAAATGCTCATACATAAATACATTAATATAGAGGAATTATTTAGGATTCTAATTTAGCCGATTGGTTTCGTGCCACAAATTCTGTTATGCAGGTGGGCGACGAAATCCTGGCCGTCAATTTGGTTGATGTCACACATATGTCGCTCGATGATGTCGTCATCATCATGTCAATTCCTCGGCGTCTGGTGCTGGCCATACGGCAGAGGCGTGGAAACCGTGGAGCTGGTTCACCGGGTCCGCCAACACTGTCGCGACCAGAACAGAAGCCGCCGCCGGTGGTGGTTATCAAGCGTGATCTCAGAGACGAGGACCTGGACGAAACGGATCGAATGCCGCGCCCGCGTTCATCACGTGAAAGACGTACAGGTAGTTTAAAGTGAGCGCCGTGTTTAAAATGCTAATCGGTGTTCCTTCTCTCTTTCTCATTTGTTCGCTTTTAGGCGATGGTCGCGAGATGACCGAGTCACGCTCCAGATTGGGTCTGGGCCTTAACAACTATAGCCCGCAGTCAGAGCAGCTAGACATGTACTACAATACACGGACTGGTGTTAACGCCATGGGCGAGCCCCCGAACTGGGGCTACAAAGCACCGCCGCCACCATCCTCGGTCATTACGGAGCAGCCCACCAAGGGGCATGCCTTTGCGCCTTCACACGCTTACTACCAGAACGCTGGTACACTGGAAAGCCTGGCCGAAAAGGTGCACGCATTCTACCCAGGCGCACCTGGCCAACCGCTAGGTCCCTCGCGACGCATGTCCACGGGCACAGGAAATGTGGGCTTAGCTCAGCAACATGCACGTTTTCCGCGCTCTGGTTCAGATCAGCATTTGCCGCGAGTCGAATACGCGGATTACTCCAACTCTTTAGGCCGCCACTCCCTGCTGCGTTCCAGCTTGAAACCCGGAACAGGCGCCCCAATGCCCGTGGGCGTTGGAGGCACTCTGGGTCGCTATGGGCGTTATGAGCAGCAACGCGGTGGAGTTCCAAAGTATGGGCCGCCGGCAGCGGGTCCGCAGTCACTGACCCGTCGTTCGCGGCCCAATCTGGACTACTCCAGCGATACCGAAGCAACCATTGGGCCTCGTCCTAGTTACTATTACTATAACCGACCCGCCATAGGCAGTATGCCACGCGGCGCAGGAGGCGTGGGAAGTGGAGCAGCTGCAGCGGCAGCTGCTATGTTGGCTGGCACCGCAGATCTCAATAAATTTAACTCACTGCCGAGGGAGCGACCGGGCGTTAGGTTACAGGGCATACGTGCGCGCATAGGAGATCGCATTCTGGATGAGAACGATGGCAATATTTCGGCGCCCGAGTATGATGCGCGGCGTGGTCGTGATCTGCGCCAACGTATTACTGCTAGCCCCGGTCCCTCTATCTTTACGGCGGACGAGTACCGTGCGTGGCTACGGCGCGCGCCCAGTAGTTCCGCGATTGCGGAGCAAATGCGTATGACTAGGGATATGTTCGCCCAGCCACGCTCGCATCGCTTCTCGTGCAGTGCGGAAAACATTCATGATGCCCTGCGGAATGTATGTTAATGGCATTTAAGGCTTGAAACCCCTATAATAATCGTGTTCTTTATTTTTCCAGACCGAGAGCATTTACTCCAGCAGAACGGGCATACTCGGTGCTGGCACGCTGGATCGTAATCTGGGCCTCACCCGACCAATCTCTGCACTGCCTGTGCGTTCCATGTCCTCGCAGCATATAGGCGGTGCTGGTTCCATACGCTCGCCCAGTATACGACGCATGCGTCAGCTGCTGGAACTTTCTGCTGGTCCAGCCAGTCCTAGTGGCAGTATTATGAGTACAGCCGGTCATCAGAGTCCCGCGCCCACGCCGAGTGCAACATTGCCGCGTGCTCATCGCCAGATCGACATTAATCCGGCAGAGTTTGCCAAGTACAAGCTGGACAAGCCCATTGTGGACATTGGCGGCGTCTCGGGCATGCTCTGGATACATCTGCTGGCCGGTCGCGGATTGCGCTCAGTACCAGAACAGGGTGCACAGCATGCACCTGGTGGAGCACCACTCCCACAGACTAGAGATCTTTACTGCGTAATCGAGTGTGATCGTGTGCATAAGGCGCGCACAGTGGTGCGTTCGGGAGATTTGCAGTTCGACTGGGACGAGTCCTTTGAACTAGATCTGGTGGGCAACAAGCAGCTGGACGTGCTCGTCTATTCCTGGGATCCACAGCACAGGCACAAGCTGTGCTATCGCGGCGCCATATCGTTGTCGGCGGTGCTGCGGCAATCGCCACTGCATCAGCTGGCGCTTAAAGTGGAGCCTCGCGGCACTGTCTACATACGCATGCGGCACACAGATCCCCTCGCACTGTACAAGCGTCGCGGGCTGCCCAGTTTGCGTGCCGGTTATCCGACACTTTTCGGCGCCGATCTGGAGACGGTGGTCAACAGGGAGTCAAAGAACGCGCCCGGCTGTGCGCCAGTGCCAATTGTGCTGCGACGTTGCGTTGAGGAGGTGGAGCGGCGAGGCCTCGATATAATCGGGCTGTATCGCCTGTGCGGATCGGCAACGAAGAAGCGCCTGCTGCGCGAGGCTTTCGAGCGCAATAGCCGCGCTGTGGAATTGAGCCCGGAACACGTTCCTGATATTAATGTTATTACCGGCGTGCTCAAGGATTACCTCAGGGAGCTGCCGGAGCCATTGTTTACACGCTGTCTCTTCCAGATGACAGTGGATGCCTTGGGTAAGGCTGCTAAGGTTTAAATATGTCAATCCTTTGCCTAATTTGAGTGCATGTCAATCCCCAGCTGTCTGTCTGCCAGATGATCCTGAGGGCAACGCGAAACTGATGCTTAGCATACTCGACTGTTTGCCCAGAGCGAATAGGGTAAGTTTAACTTATAACTTTGGTTATTTTTAATGGAGAATTATCTAACAATTCCATTAACTTTAATTAAAGGCCACCTTGGTATTCCTGCTTGACCATCTTTCGCTGGTTGTGTCAAATGCGGAGCGCAATAAAATGTCTGCTCAGGCGCTGGCCACTGTGATGGGTCCTCCGCTGATGCTGCACTCGGCCAGTGCGCAGCCTGGCGCTGATATTGATCATGCTCAGCCGATTGCGGTACTCAAGTATCTGCTGCAGATCTGGCCTCAGCCGCAAACGCAGCAGACGCAGCATCAGCAGCTGGCTCAGCACATGGGCGGCATGGCCGCTGCCAGCAGCATGAGCAATATGGCGGGTGTTGCTTCAGGTAACGTAATCACTGTGTCAATAATGCAATCCACACTAATGTCCAGTACCTAGTATCCACCAACAAGACAGACACACACATACTCCCACACACACACACACAGATACACATACAGGCGCGTGTTTTTACTAGTGGCACAATAAACACTTGCAAGAGTTTCTTTCCGCTTTGAATGTGCAGAAGCAGCAACAGCCCCATTTTGTTCCTTATTCGAGTCTCTTTCCTAATGGCGGCACAGAAAACGTTCACATTTTGACCGTCACGCACACCACACAAGCGTACACACATACACATACACATGATCAGCCCCAATCCCAAGCCACAAAATGATCGTTCACATTAATATTGATTAATACAGAGTCCTATGTAGACAGGTCGGCGCGGCGAGTCAACAGGGCAGCGTGGAAGCAAAGTCAGTGCGTTGCCAGTGGACAGACAGCAAATACTACTGCAGCAGCAGCAGCAGCTCATGGCGGCGGGCAACCTACTGCGCTCGTCCACTTCGGTAACCAACATACTCTCCCAAGGCCATCATCAGCTCTCAGCCACAGCCAACAGTCATCTGTATCAATCAGTAGTGGGTCAGTTAGCTCAATCGCATCGAGCCTTGCAACAAGCGGTGCAACAGGTAAACAAACAGTTACAACAACAAAAACAACAACAACAACGATAACAACAAATACAACTAACAAACATATCAATAACAACAACCAAAGAGTCTTAACAACAAAGAGAGTTCTTAATGAATAAACGAAGCAACTAGTTCTTAAAACTAACAACAAAATTCTCCAAATACACAATAAGTATTAACACACATTTAATACAACACTAATACTAACAATCAAATGTGTTTTTTTTGTTCAAATGGGCTCCTTATTAGAAAGTTTTTTTACTTCCTGTACCTCAACATTCCATAGTTTGTCCGATTGCTTAAAGTATGTACGACTAGAGTATATCTCTTTCTATTTTCTAATTACACTAAAAAAACATACTGGGCTACACCTACTTATAAATACACAGTCACACACACATACATGCTACACTTTCAACAGCTCTTTCTTGCTCTTCTAACTCTTCCTGTTGACCGTTTGTTATCGCGTAATTGATTTCAACGATATATTTAAAAAACTTGAGTAATAACTGAACAATTATATAATCTATATATCTACATAAAGCATTCTGTGTTGTTGATTTGATTTGCGCTTCTTGAAACAAAGTAATTGTAAAAGTAACTCTTGATTTGCCGTCAAATTTTGATCGACGTTGTAATTGTGATATTTGTACAACTCTTAACAATAATGATAACGATTATAACAATGCTAATAATGATGATGATTTGAGCGATGTGATAAATGTTAACGGCGTGTTAAGCATGATTGGCCCACTACTGGTAAAAATGTAACATAACGAACATACATGTCTACTATAATACCAATGCAATATGTAAATTCATAACAATTGTACTTATGTTTACATTCGCCGACACAACATATAAATTGCTTCATATACAAATCCATTGTACAAAGTTCATCAATCATCGCCTGTACTATATCCTTCTGAATAGATAATGACTCCCCGTAAAACTCAAACTTTCAATGATGTAGTTAAATCCAAATGCCAACCTACAAATATCCATGAGCACAGAAGAGTACGCAGTAGCAAATTAATAATGAAACTATTTAGGTTTATTTAATTATAAACTGCTTGAGTGCGATATGTTTCCCAAACATTTTGTTATGAAATGTGCAGGATGCATACAAAAAACTATGATAAGCAGGATTGAGAGTTCTGAACACTTTCAGTTTTGTCAACCTTATTGTATCTGCACTTGAATCTTGCTCTGTTAATTGCACACTTTCCAAGGCACCCTGTTTGCATGCCTCACAATCCACTCGCTTTTATTTTAATCCATCAATCAAAACATCTCATCTAAAAGTTAAAATACGATTGGTTTATCAATTGGCCGCAATCTGGTTGCAAATCCTTTGTGAATTCATCAATTCCTAATTAAAGTGTATGTCTATTGTATGTTTGCCACGCGCACACACGCACTATCCACAACACATGATATCAAAAATTCAAAATTTTGTTAAACACATTGCACCCAGACCCCAGATACAGCCCCAAAGCATACACACTGTGGGGCGTTCGTCCACTCCCAATATTAAATGCCATGTTATGCCTATGCAATAACCATTGCCTCGTATTGTGTTTGTTTCCATTTTGTGATATCTTTCAGCCCTTTCAATTGGCGGGCTCAGCGGTCTCGGCAATTCCCGACCAATCGCCACTGCCACTTCCAGGCACACCCTCCCCAGGCAGTAGCTCAGCCTCGACGGGCTCCGGCTCGGGGTCGGGCTCGGGTTCGGGCAAGAGTAAGTAAGGCCAGGCCTGAGCATATGAAATAATCTAATCCCATTGCACCCATTCAGGCACTGATACTATCAAGCGCGGTGCTTCGCCCGCTTCCATCAAGCAAGTGAAAATTGTTGACACGCCGAGCCCGTACTCGGTTGTACAGAAAAAGCCACCTTTGCAAAAGGACGCTCCCATAGAAGAAACTACGCCCCCGGAGGCCAATACAAGCTCGACAATCCGCAAAGGAGTTGACTTCTACGAACCGCACAAATCGCAATCCAAGAACCTGGCCGGCGATGACTCGTATACATCTAAATATAACAGCAGCACTTTGGATAGTAAGAAGAGCAGCTACATGAGCAGTTACACGCCCGGCAAATCCTTCACTGCCAGCAGCGCCACTCTCAGCACCAACGATGAATACAAGGCCATGCGCAATAAATCGAGTGCCACCTCAAGCTCTAGTTCCTCCCAGGCAACTGTGCTGAGTGCTGGATCCACTGCAACATCGGCGCCAACAACCTCCTCCGATGACTCTGACGATTTGGTCTCATACAAGTCGTCGGCCTCTACCAATGCGTTGCTGGCCCAGTCTCAGGCGATGACCACCAGTCAGCTAATGTCTAAATACTTAAAGCGCGAGCCACGAGTGCAATTTACACCGATCAAATCGCCGGAATCGCCCTCACCACCTGGCGGCAGCGATGGTCTGCCAAAGGGCACCTACCAGCTGGTCACGCCCAGCTCCAGCACCAGCTGTTTGGCCAAGCCCAGTGCCACCACGGGTGCGATCAGCAAGTATACGACTTCGACATCATCGCCCAGTTCAGCGGACACCAGCAAAAATCCAACCAGCAACAACAAATTGTCGTCACCGTCGAGGCTTGCCAAAGATGGCAAGTCGGCAGGCGCGGTAAGTAACTCCTCTTCCCTGGTGTCGAGCGGCAGGCGGCTGTTTGACAGCCTTGCCTCGTCGTCTTCCTCGGAAACGGAGACAAAGACTTACATAGGCGGCACAACAGTTGCCAGCACCACAGTTGCCAACACCACAACAACCTACACGAACGAATCTAGAAACTTAGCCAGCAGCAGTAGCAATAAAGCGACTTCCGGCTCAGAGCACAGAAGTTTTGGTAGTGCACTATTCGGTAGCAGCGCCTTGGGCAACGGCAATGGCAATGGTCATGGTGCCCACTCTAGCAACAGCCCCTTTGCCAGCACCAATGGCAACGCCAATGGTAGCAGCAACCACAGTACCATGAACTTGTATGGCACACTGCCAAAGAATGGGGCTGCCAACGGCAGCAGCGCGGGCGCCACTCTGTTTGGTGCCAGCGCCAGCTCTTCTTATCATTCTGGCAGTGGCACAGCCAGCAGCAGTGGGGTTAGCTCGATGACTGGCTCCACTAATAGCTATGATTTTTATACGAGCAGCAGCACAGGCGCCAGCAGCAGCTCGCGTCCCTTTGCCAATGGTGGCAACAACTATCATACGCTGGGCACCTATCGCGCTCAGTACGCGGCCACCAATCCCTTCCTCGATGCCTTCGATGAGAAGCCCAGCAGCAATGGGGGTAACAATGGCCATAACAGCCATCACGTTGCCGATGATAAGCATGCAACGATCGCGGATAAGAGCCATCAGCGTACCGCAATGGTGGCGGCTTTTCAGTCGTCTGGCGACTCAAAGAATGGCAGCGATGAATACGATGATCTCAAGTGAGTGGCCCGCGGCGTACGCTGGGCAGGTGTGAGTGGGGGCAGGTAGCTGTCCGCGCAGTATAGGGAGACTTGGTTTAAAGGCGATAGCGATATCTATAACGATATGAAACGCTGAAAGTGTTCTTTTGGAGTATTTACAGTTTACAAATTTACAAAACTAAATATGCAAAAATATGAATATATATCGATAAACAATATTTAAAAGCTATACCAAAATCGAACAATTTAAAGAACAAGTAAAGATTAACGAATTTTTAAGATCACATCAAATTATAATGGCAATCCACTGAGACAGCAGGAAATCCGGTTTAAATAAATACGCATACAAAACAAAACATAACAAAATGGCTGCCAAGCTTTAAGTGTTCGCGTGTGTGTGTGTTTGTGAGTGTGCATGTGTGTGTGTCATGCTAAAAGCTTTGCCTTAGCAGCATTTATACTAATATATTCGTTGGCAGCCATTTTGAAATCTACGGCATAACCTTTACAAACAGTATTCGAAACAAAAGCTAAACCCGATTTAAAGAAAACGCAACGTATACAACATAAGAAATTAAAACATAAAAATAAACCTAATATCTAGGTAAATAAAAGGTTGAACGCGCATTTAACTTTTCTTTTTGTTTACATACTCATATATAAACTATCAAGACGTATAGATTTGCTGAAAACATACAAAAATATTTTCGCAGCAACTTGAAGCAAAAAAACATTAATGTTTGTATAGTCGAATAATCGATTTTCTCCCTTAAATCCCTCCTAATAACTTCTATGCATATGTTAGCTTATTTTAAGGCGACCAAAACTCTTAACTATTAGATGATAATATTTCATCAAATATTGGACAAAATTTCGAGCAATATATTTGCCTAAAATGTTTCTCTAAACCTCTTATACATATATACATGCTTACAAAACATGCATCCATATACATATGTATATACAAAATTATTTATATGAATATGCATTTATATATGTACCGAGTACTACATACACATACATTAACCACACCAAATGTGTACTTCCGCATAGGTTATGTTGAGTACGATCAAAAGGTTTTCTATGGATGCTTACGTTTTCATATTTGTTCGTTCAGATCGCATTCACTCACACAAAAACTTACACACATACTACATACACGAATACATGAATTTATTGACAAATCGATGTGCTTAGTTTTTTGTATGAAACAAAGTCTGATATACACACTAATATACAAGAATACGGTATTAAATATTCTTAAACATAAATATACAAGTAAAACAAAGAAAAATATATACATAAATCTATATATATATATATATATATATATATACATACATATACAGTGACAAAACTAAAACACGCTTTGCGACTATAACAAAAGGAAAGTCTACAAACTTTACAGCCATTTTGTTTGAATACTTTAGCAACAGCTTTTTATAAACGAGTCTATATACATATGTAAATATGTATACTTTAATATAGGTATGCATAACTAACTCGAAACTATAATAAACTTATTATACTATAACAAATCCTATCAAACTGTAAATACCCACAACGTACTTTAAAACTCTTGTGCTTATGTGTCAGTCGTTGAGGTCATGAACTTAATCAACTAGTCAGTTAGTCGGTCAATGTTTGTCAGTTCTACAGAGTTAGTTTAGTTTCTAGTGTTAGGCATAGTAACTTAAGTGAAGCTTTTGCTAACAAAATGTAGTGCAACAAAGTGAAATATTATTTTATTTAGGAAGCCAGGGAGCCTAGTAAGCAATAAATATATAAATACCAACAAATTAGAGACACCGAATACAAAAACGGAAAATGCATATAAAAAAGTACATTATATAGCAAAACAGATAAGTCTATATTATATATGTAACAGGTAGACAAATTTAAGTTAGTTACCTAACAAAACACCAGCATAATCATTCGTCTTCATCAAAGTACAACTTTCTGGCAGCAACAACAAGAACAAGAACAAGAAAAAGAACAGTAATTAACAGGATATACTATACAATTTCAATTCAGATTCTAATTCGCATCAATTAACAAATCATAAATAAAAGATTATTACGCGTAAAGCCAAAACAGTGCATTATTTGATATTAACAAAGTTTTAAGTAAATATACGATGGATGAGACATGCGTTGAGATTTTACATAGCAAATTATTCGGTTAATTGTTGTCACATTTATTTTATACGAAACTAGATGAGAAAACAAAACTTTTTAAGTGTTAAACATGAAATATCAAACCAAAGAGTTAAAATCATCAAGAACAAACCTAGTTGATGCTATAATTAATTTTTATATACAAGTATAGTAAATTGTTGATTATTATATATAGAGCGCGTAGTGTTTTTAAAGCAACAATTAAGCTAACAACAATTTGTCAACATTGCTAGCTATTCATTTATAGGGGTCCAAATGCATTTCGCTGGGGGTCTGCATGCAGTTTATTTATTATTATTATTATCATCTTTGGTACTCGTGCTGTCGCCTTCTTTCAACATGATCGTTAAATTTGAAGTGGACTCAAAGCATTTCAATTTAGTTTGTAAAGCTTTAATCGTTGAACGACTCAAAGATTATAGATTTCAAATATACTCGAATTCTAACAAAAAAAAAAATGAAAGAAAAATTTAAAGCAGCATTTTAATTAATTTGCGAATTGTTGTGGGCTCTTAGTTATAGCTGAGCTTTAGATAAGATACCAAAAGTAACCGGCTGGCCTAGTTAGTGTTAGTAGTAAATCGTGGTGTTTGTGGTGTTCGTTGTGGTGCTGGGTGGTGGTGAAATGTTGGCTGTTACGTGTGAGCTGATTGGCTTTGGCGTTTGAACTGCTGCGTGTGTTTATTGTTTGGGACGTGCTCTGGGGCTTGAACTTGCTTGAAAATGATACTTGTACTTCTTAAAATATGTTATGAAATATATCACTGTGTCATATCGTACATTTATAGAAGTAATGGATACCAAGTTGGCAAGTAACACGCGATTAATTAATTGTTAAAACAAAAGTATTTATATTAAAAAAAAACAAATATAACTAAATTAATAGCAGCAAAGCAGCAACTATAGTTAATTAAACTGAAATGATTGGCAAGCAACCACAACTACAAATTGTATATGCATTTAATTTAGCCTAAACGATTAAACAAAAATATATAATAATAATAATAAGCGTTAGCTGAATAAATACAAACAAAGCAAATATGTTAAAGGCATTTAGTGAGCAAATATGAATTGATAAAAACTAATACACGAAAGCCACATGAAATTAATGTTAGTTACCAGAAAAAACGAACTAATTTATTGAAATGTATTGCACAATATTGTACACTTATAAATATTAGTAAAAAGTAACAAAAACTAAATAGAAACGAATAGGAGGCAGCTGTGCTAGCGAAATATATATTGTAGTTCATATATATATATATAAATAGATCCCAGCCATGGTTTAAAGCACTCTGAAATATTTATTTTAAACTTATTTTCTTTTATTGAGTATTGTGCCCCACAGCGACTACTCACACAACACAGCTCAGTTTTACATTAGTTTGGATTAGTTGGATAGTAAATATACCTAAGTAAATACTTGTTTATAATGTGTGTATGTATTAAATGTGCCTAAAGATATAATTTATTTTTAAAACCAGGGAGAACTCTTCTTCAATAACCTTTAACACATTTTTGGGGATTAACTTTTAATGATTCGCAGCACTTTCGTGCAACGATTTCTTTTGTCGAACTTAACATGCAAATGGAGACCAAATGCTCAGGGCTTAGCGAGTTATGAATAACATAATATACAACCAAAAATAAAAAGGCAAAACATATTTAAGAACTAATTGTAACACATCATGAGCATGCTCCATTATATTTAACAATTACTAAGCATTTCAGTTACGTTCTTTTCATCCTGCAAGAAGAATAACCACAACCACAAGAAAAACAACAAGAACAATCCAGCAAACAAATTTACAATTCCAAGCAATCAATTTCGTTATAAAGACTGACTGAGAAACAAAGAAAAACAACAACAACAACAGAACTCCCTAAGTAACCGGAGAGTTTTCATATCAAATGACAAACGTTTTTCAAAAATCCCCAAATGAAAAGCTTCATTTGAATCATTCAAAATGTACATTATTTCATTTTAAACCTTTTCTAGCGAGTCCATAATACAAAAATCATTACGAAGTCCTTAATGAATAGTCAAATATAGCGAAAATAATTCAAATATTACCACCAGCGTTTTGCTACATAACTAACTAAATATAACTAAAATGCAACAATAAGAAAACATAAAAATAGTCTACAATATAGTTGAGAATCGTATAAGGGCAGATGGCATTGAACTTTAGCGAAAATGTTTCTAGTAGAAGAGTAAAGTATACAACGGATAACCAACAATATACAAAGAATAGTTAAATCTAAAGCATTGTATTTGGAAATGATTTTTGAAACCCACCATAAAAACTGAACGAAGAATCTGAAATATTAAAATGAAATGCGATTAACAGAACCCATTTTTTGATATTAAGTTTCCTTCGCTTATTTGCTATTTCCAAATTCACATATTAATCAAAATAATTCGCAACAGCAATCTTAAAACAAAATATTAATAAATTTACATTCAGACATATGTAAATATGCGCGGCTAAACTAATCCAAATCCAAACGATGAAGACAAACACAAGTGCATTTTGTTTCCCAACTTGCGCGTGAGAACAGCTAAAGAAAATACCAGATAATACTCTGATTTACCACTGCCACAAAGTAAAAGTAAAAAAGAATTAAAGTTATTATAGACATTAACATACAACATATACTTACACATAAGTATATACTTACTTACATACATATATATGTACTTTGCAAGTGTACAATGAAAAGGAAATTCATTACAATTACATATATACATAATGTGCGTATTACAAAACCAAGTAACAAGCAACATCATACGTTTGCATAAACAGCATTAAAGATAAATACATATAAATACATAAGTCAACTTAAAATTATTATTTATTCAAAATAATAACAATGATAACAATAAAACTTAACTTATAAAAGCATTAACTAAATCCAAAATAGTTCTTTGCATAAGAATAAAGCGATGTTACATTATTTAATGAAAATATATACATACATATAAATAAAATATAAATAACAATTGTGTTTTATTCAGAGTTCACATCTATTTCATCTATACTCCTTTCTCAAGGTGATGTAATCCCCATCTAAAGAGTTTCTCCTGTCAGAATTACTAAGTATTGACCGACGCACAGCCGAAGCCATATACGGCTTAATGAAGCTTTCTTAAGGTTCGAAACCGTGCAATAAGACGGGTTTGTGTTTTGCGAACATGTCATACTCTTTTGAATTTGAGCGCCGGACCAACAAGCGAGTGGCCGCCGGTTCAAGTGCTGCAGCAATTGCTTATTTCCGATTTGTTTATATAATTTGCTATTAGTCACAAAGAAAAAATGCATAATAATTAATTTAAAAACAAAAAAGGGAAAGGAAAGGGAAAGGGTGTTGCATAAAAATAATTTTTGTTTGTTATTTTTGCTTTTTTTATACCCTGAACCCATTAAAAATTGGTATAAGGGTATATTGTATTTGTGCAAAATCCAAATGTATGTAACAGGCAAAAGGAAGCTTCTCCGACCCCATAAAGTATATATATTCTTGATCAGCATTAATAGCCGAGTCGATCTAGCCATGCCCGTCTGTCTGTCCGTCCGTCCGTATGTATGAACACAAGGATCTCAGAACCTATAAGAGTTAGAGACTTTTTATAGAGAAATTTTAGATGTAGATGCTCCTAGTTCCCGCGCAGATCGAGTTTGTTTCCGATAATCGATAACTTACTCCGTTTTCAAGCAATCGATAAAATATCCTGTCGATATCCTGTTTTTTGGGCAATTTTGGTAAATAATAAGAGCTAGAGTCA